CTTCAACATAGTACTCCATGAGTGCTTATGAATAGATTAGTTGTCTGTATTTTTGAAAAATGGGAAGATAGAAAGTAGAAACGAGTTTCAGGGCCACAGAAAGTATCCTAATCTTCTGACTCCAATCACTTGAAAAGTTATCAGTCTCCAGGTTAATAAAATATCCATAAGATGCCAAAAAAATCAAAATGTTATTTGGGGCAGGCTTTCTGTAAGTATTTGTTCAGCTGAAATAAATTAATATTCAGTGTCTCCATCCCCCCCCAAAAGAATACAAAGCTGACAAATACAATGTGAAGTAAAGAAATTTTGAAAAAGTGGAGTGTCTGAAAACATTACAGGATGGAATAGGAGAAACCCTAGGTCTCCTTGGCACAGACCGAAATTTTCTTAATAGAGACCCAGAAACACAACAAATCAAAGAAAGGTTGGACAAATGGGATTGCATAAAGTTGCAGAGCTTCTGCATGGCAAAGGACATAGCTAGCAAGATCAATAGAAAGCCCACAGATTGGGAGAAGATCTTCACTAGCCATACACCAGACAAGGGTCTCATATCTAAAATATACCTGGAACTCAAAAAATTAAACCCCCCAACAACAAATCTTCAAAGAAACAACTGCCCAATAAATAAGTGGGCTAAAGACTTAAAGAGAAACTTCTCTGAAGAGGAAAAAAAGATGGCCAATAGACACATGAAGAAATGCTCAACCTCTCCTGCCATAAAAGAAATGCAAATCAAAACAACATTGAGATACCACCTCACCCCAGTTAGAATGGCTATAATCAAGAAATCTAACAACAACAGATGCTGGAGGGGATATGGACAGAAGGGATCCCTACTTCATTGTTGGTGGGAGTGTAAACTTGTTCAATCACTTTGGAAAGTAGTATGGAGGTTCCTCAAAAGACTCCACATAGAGCTCCCCTATGAACCAGCAATCCCACTTGTGGGCATTTACCCAAATGTTCACAAACAAGACCACACTAAAGCTACCAGCACAACTATGTTTATTGCAGCCTTATTTACCATAGCTAAGATATGGAACCAACCCATATGCCCCTCAGTAGATGAATGGATCAAGAAAATGTGGTATATATACACAATGGAATTCTGTGCCTCCATCAGAAAGAATGACATTGCCCTATTTGTTAGGAAATGGAAAGACTTAGGAAAAATTCTATTAAGTGAAGTAAGCCAGGCCCAAAGAAACATATGTCCCATGGTTTCCCTTATTTGCAATAACTAGTATATGTCAAGCAGATAAGTTGATGTTAGGGAAATGAATCTTAAGATATGTAGTCAAATTTTTTTTCTTTCATGAGATTGTTTCTAACACATTTATAAGTTTATTTCTTTGTTGCTTTGTATGTCCCTCCCCCACGGTATAACCCCTGCTTTCATGGTATTTGATGTTGTTACAATTTATCAAGGGGAAGAGAAAAAACAAATCATTTAAATAGGGATACAGGTGGACCCATTGCAACAATGAGATGTACAAGTCATTATGTCGAAAAAATGAACTTTACAACATTGGTGGGGGGGGGGAGGGTTGGGTGGGGGGGGTAGGGGAAGGATGGGATGGGAAGGGGAAACAAAGGAGGAGGCTACAATGCTTGATAAGAAATGTACTCATTATCTTGCCTATGTAATTGTAACCCCTCTGAACAGTATTTTCACAATTAAAAAAAAGAAAAAGTGGAGCGTATGTAACTTTGGTAAAATTCAACCTAGCTAATTCAAATTTATTTATTTATTTATTTTGGTGCCAATACTGGGGCTTGAAATCAAGCTCTTGCTTAGCTTTCTTGCTCAGGGCTGGCACTCTACAAGTTGAGCCACACCTCTGCTTTGTATTTTTTAGCTTGCTTTGAACAGATCTCAACATCCTGAGTAGCTATGATGACAGGCATGAGCCACCAGCAACCAACTTAACTGAACTTTTTATAACAAAAACATCCAGTCTTTAGTGAGTAAATAAATGAATTCATCTCCATCTTATATTTGGTCCACCTGTTTGTCTCACCAAAATAGTCACAATAAAAAACTTTACAACTTTTATTTCTTCTGTTTTGTAGTCTCAAAATGATGCTCAGGATAGAACATGCCTTTAATGGGATGCTTAAGTAATCATGGCACTTTAATTAAAAGGGCAATCATATTTTGAAATAGCTATTGTTCTCTGGGGAGTTATTACAGTTTTGGTGTTATATTTCTGTAGTTACTTAGTATTCTTACTATGGGTTGTTTTATGTGTGTGTGTCAGTCCTGGGGCTCTGAGCTCTAGGTCTGGGCATGTTCCCTGAGCTCTTTTTGCTCAAGGATAGCACTCTACTACTTGATCCACAGCTCACCTCCAGCTTTTTGGTGGGTAATTGGAACTAAGAGACTCATGCATTAGGGTGGCATTGAACTGTGATTCTCAGATCTCAGCCTTCTGGTAGGCTACAGGCATGGGCGTCCCACATCTAATAACTATTGAAGATTGAATTAATCATCACAACTACTAATGATATAATGATATATGCTAATGATAGCAGCATAACTCAATCTATGGATTATAAGTAATTCTTCCTCATGAAAAGCATTATGTAAAGTGTATAAGAGCATTTTCAGTACTGGGATAATTTTGTATGTTCTCAAACTTAGTAGCAAACCTTCAGTACTGTAGCACTTGTCAATCATACATTATTGTCATATACATTTCGTCTCATCACAAACACTGGAGACCAATTATCAGGACCCATTATCAGGTACCAGGCATGTCTTCTTCACATGGCTACCTGTTTTCTTTCCAAAATATAAAGATCATCAGTGAGCTCTCTTATGAGCTTTTAATGGGTTCTCACTGATTTCAGGATACTGTCTAAATTATCTGATGTCTTAGTCCATTCAGACTGCTATGACAAATTACCATGGGCAGGATGGCTCTTAAGCAAAAGAAAATCATTTCTCATAGTTCTGGAGGTAGAAGTTCAACTTCAGGGTGACATCATGGTTGGATTCTGGTGAGGACTGACTTCCTGATTCACAGAGAGCTGCTGCCTTTTGCTGTGTCTTTACATAGTGAATGGTACCATGATAGTAATTTCATTTATGCAAGTTCAGTTTGACTTTATAAAGACTTCCATCTTCTAATATCATCACAGTGGGGATTAAATTTTAGTGTATGTATATTTTTTTTTCTTTGTTATCGTTCTGAGGGACAGGCTAAGGACACATGCATGATAAGCAAGGGTTCTATCATTAAGCTATACTCCTAGCTCTTTCATATGGATATCCCAGCAAAATCATCTGACATGACTAATAAATTCATTCTCTTTCTGGACCTAGATTTTCTTTCCAACCTCATCTTTAGTGAATATTAACCATTGACCATTATCAAACTAGGTCCTTTTGTACCTTGGACTCTGCCATAAACATCTTACTTTTCTCCCTATTTGAATTTGTGTTTGTTTTTTAAAAGCCAGCTTTTTCAAGTACTTTGGTTATTTCTTCCTCTGTGCTCACATTCTTGGTACATTTTTTCAATTCTATATTTAATTACATGGTTTAGTACATAGTCCTTATAATAATTTATTGGAATGCTTATCTCTCAGACTAGATTGTAACTCCTGGATTACACTGTGCATTCCTAGTGTTAGTCTGAATGCAAACTGTCTAACAGCATCATATAATGGTTGGGTGACTGAAGATATTGCCAATTGTTTGGAAGTAAAAATGCCTTTACTTACTGAAGTGGTTCTACAAATGTTTATTTAATTCTCAGCTGACTAAAAGAAACTTGTTTAAATCATAATGCAATTGAAACCTATTCTAATACTGCTTCCTTTTCTAGTATGAGAATATGTTTTCTCTCTACTTCACAGAAACATGAGGGAACTTCTTTCTTCTCTTTTTACCCTAGCCTATGGGAAACCTTTTCTCAAATTTTCTCTCATTATCTTAGAAGGAGAAGTCCAAAGAAGAATCCCTTCCTTCCTTCCTTCCTTCCTTCTTTCCTTCCTTCCTTCCTTCCTTCTTTTCCTCCCTCCCTCCTTCCTTCCCTCCTCCCTCCCTCCCTCCCTCCTTCCCTTCCTTCCTTCATTCCTTCCTTCCTTCACTCTTTCCTTCCTTCTCTCTCTCTCCTTCCCTTTCTTCCATCCTTCTTTTCTTCTTTCCCCTCTAATTCTTCTTTTCTTTCTTTTTTTCTATGCTATTAAGATGTGATTTCTAGCAGGGTGCAGGTGGCTCAAACCTGTAGTCCTAGCTACTCTGGAGGCCAAGATCTGAGGCTCACAGTTCAAAGCCACACACAGACACACAGACACACAGACACACACACACACACACACACACACAGACAGAGACAGAGATACAGAGAGAGAGAGCTGTGACTCAAGTGCTGGAACTCTAGCTTTCAACAAAAAAGCTTAGGGATAGTGCCTAGGCCTTTTCAAAAAAGAAGGAGAAAGATATGATTTCGGCCATTCTGATTTTTATGATAGAGACATATGTAACTGAGGATGTCATCTTTGTGTGTTGCCTGTGTCTTAATAGCTTTGAAGAACATTTGTCTTATAGCATCTGATTAGACTGATCCATGAGACTTTCTTGATGCAACCCTACACACAATAAAATGAAATTGTTACTTAATTAGGATCTCACTTGTAAGACATTTTTAGTGTTTCTTATTTATGTCAGTTTTCTTTTGACTTATGTTAAATAAATCATCACAGACCTCTTCCTTCTACTCTTTGACTCTTAGCTTGTAACTTTGGCATGCTCCTTTCCTCCATATACCTGCAAAAATGATGTTTTAAATTTGAATAAAAAATAGCTGAACTCATATATTGATGAGTAATTCATGTCACTTATTTAAATGTACATATTGCCTTGTACACAAACATGATTACTTTGAGAATGTTTTGAGAAAAATATACTACACTGACTCCTGTGATTTTATAAAGTAGTTAACCTCAACAAATCTTAAATAAATTCTCTTTTTTGCCTTCAATAGGTGGTGTTTGCATTGCTCAATCACAGAAAATCCCACGTGAGCCAAGACCTGGTGAATTTGAAAAAATTATCAAACGCCTGCTAGAAACACCTAATGCTCGAGCAGTGATTATGTTTGCCAATGAGGATGACATCAGGTGCGGATTACTTTTCTTCTGTATATAGGATCAGATTTGTCCTACATCCTTTTCAAATATATCTCCTGTGCATGTTCAATGTGAAATCTTGTGAGATTCCACCGGAATTGCTAAGTCCCTTTGCAATTACAGATTGCTTTCTGCAAAGACACAAGAGCCTCCTATCTCCACATCTTCAGTGCCTTTAGTGCAAACCCCGACTGAACAAGATGAGATAAATAAGGATGATAGACACAGAGATGGAGCAAGGTTAAGGATAAGGCTAATTAACGTGTGGTACAGTTGAAGTCCCTGCTCTATTTCCTTTAGGAAATGATAAGACTCAGGCAGTTAGAATGATTGACTAATTGTTTAACTGTGACCTATTTGAGTGTGTTTAATTTCATAAAGTGGTTGTCTTTGTTTGCTTCTATTGCTGTAATTAAATGTCACAGACTGGGTAATTCATAAAGAAAACTTTATTGAGCTCATCGTTCTGGAGCTCCAAGAGAGGTCCCAGCTTCTGCTTGTCTGCTAAGGTCCTTCCTCAAGGATCAAGTTATGGAGGAAAGCTTCATATGGCAAAGGAGAGCAGCTTCTTGCTCAGTCTTCTCCTCTCTTCTTAAAGCCATTGATGCCATCCTGGGGGCCACACTCCCATGACCTCATCGAGTCCTAATTCCTCCCGAGAACCCCATATGAGAAATTAGCATATGACACTGGAGATTTCATTAGTCATGAACTTTGTGAAATATATTCCAAGCATAGTGCCAGTCTCATAGCATGCATAATTGCACTGTTCTGTAATAAATATGTCATGCTTTCTTTCTTGTGATTCCTCTAGGAGAATATTGGAAGCAGCAAAAAAATTAAACCAAAGTGGGCATTTCTTATGGATCGGCTCAGATAGCTGGGGATCCAAAATAGCACCTGTATATCAGCAGGAGCAGATTGCAGAGGGAGCTGTCACAATTCTGCCCAAAAGGGCATCAATTGATGGTAAGGACTTAGTTTTCATTCCACCTGAACTAAAATCCAAAGCAAAAACTGGATATTAGAACAAAATGAAAGGTATTCATTATTGATGACTTTGAACAGAAATTTTAGCTCTGATGACATAATTGTCCTTTCAATAACTATCTAACCTAGCATGTTTTAAAGAATATCCATTAGACCTCTGCTGTACAAAAAGGAACTATAGTTAGTATTTGATATTTCCGATAATTGTGTTTTAATTTTGCATAGTTCCAAGGGCACATTGGAAGGTTTTAGCATATTTAGAAGGAAAGTGCTTAATTAATAAAAATGAAATACTAGGATAATACTATGATAAATAAATTTAATTGGAGAGATTTAAGCAACTTTGAGAGAAAGAGATCAAAAGAAAGAAAAGAAAGGAAGAACGAAAAAAAGAAAGGAAGGAAGGAAGGACGGAAGAGGCTATCTCCTGAATATATCTTTTCCAATGGTTTTGACAAGAACTAGAATTCCCACTTTTAACATTATCTTTTGGAGTAAGACATTATTTCCAGATGATCTCCCTTCAGTATGGTGGTTACCTGAGAAAGATAATCCCATAGCCCACTTACTCAAGGCCCCATAAGATTAGCACAGATTGCTTTAGGGAATCAGCTAAAAGTGAAACATATAGGTCAGATCAATTTTGAAGTGGGTAGAGACATTGGAAAGTTCTGGAAGATTGATCCATACTAAGGCGAAGAGATAGACTGAAGAAGAAGAAGAAAAAAAAGGAAGGGAAAAGAAGAAGAAAGAGGTGCAGGAAAAGGAGGTAGTAGACAAGAAGGAGGAACAGAAAGAGTTTGAGTTGATATCTGAATATTCAGAACACCTAGAATGCAATATGAGGCCACTACTTGTAGCCTGGATGGCTCAGAGTAGACGGAGAAGTTTTGAAGGACAGTAATAGCTACAGGATTCCCTGTTTTTCTCTGACTCTTCTGTTTTGGGGAGAGGGACGTGGTGACTGTTCATCAGTCTTTCTTGGCCCTTGCTGTGAATTTTTATTTTGGCACCCTCTCTCATTCTATAAATTTGCTCCTGCAATGGTCATAGCATAGTTATTCAAAATTCAGTTTGCAGGCAGTTCAAAATGAATTTGAAAGAAAAATATTAAAATGATATCTTTACACTCACATGATACTATGTTGGATTGAACATTACAAGTTGGGGAGGAGGAGGAGCATAGGGAGGGGTAAGTGGGAGATGATGAGGGAGGGGTTAACAATGATGAAAAACAAATGTACTAATTACCTTACTTATGTAACTGTAACCCCCTGCTCATCACCTTTGCAATACAGATAAAATATAATTTTAAAAATGATATTTCTTCCTTAAAATAGGATTCGACCGATATTTTAGAAGCCGAACTCTTGCCAATAATCGAAGAAATGTGTGGTTTGCAGAATTCTGGGAGGAGAATTTTGGATGCAAGTTAGGATCACATGGAAAAAGGAACACTCACATAAAGAAATGCACAGGTAGGTAGCCACTGAAATGCCCTTGATGCATTTCTTCTGGCATTACCTGATATATGAGGTGTTTTTCTGTGGCCAATGATGTCTTCTATTTCCTCATAGCTCTAGTTATAGTTTCTCAGCAGGGTAAGCAGGCACAACTTATTCAATAAGTTTAAGTTTGTCTATTGCTTTTTACAGTCGATCAACAAGTTATTTATTGACTCTGTACAATGCATGCAGCATTTCATTTGTCATTGAGTAGAATTTATTAAGTGTCTGCTGGGGGGAAAGCACTTCATTAAGTTTGTGGGAATATGGTCAAATAAATAAGATGCAGTAATTTTCTTCAGGAGTTCCAAATGTAGGGAGGTTGATGAGTCACAAGTGCTTCTCATTTCCATACATTTTCTTTATATACAATACTATAAGTTTCCATCCAGCATAGTATCTATGTTGTAGTACTTACATATTTTGTGATGCTTTGATTTTCTAGAGCAGGTTCTTAAAAATAACAATGATATCAAATGTCCATCTTCAAGTATAAGAATACATTATATTTGTTTTCAGATAATATGACTGAATACGTAAATAGAAGCAACTATAGAATTGTAAAACTTAGCAGTACATAAACATAACAAGGTCAAGGATACAAGCTCAATGTGAACATCCATCTTTAATATATATTCTGGAAATGAAAACATGGGAAATGATAGTTAAGGAATACTGTTTCTAGCAAGCTAAAAAAGACCCTATAAAACATTAAGGTTGATTTTGACCAACAATCCTGTGTGCTAAAAACTACAAACGTTGAACATAGGGTAAGGTAAAGTTTTTAGAAACTATTCTCTCATCTACCTTACCCCTTGCCCAGATGTTTTGGTATGTCCTCCTTTCCCTGATTCACTTCCTCGGAGGTGGTATGTTGAGACATGCCTACAATTATAGAGAAGACAAATAGGTGAAAAATGGTGTTACACTCTAAAGGAATCTGACTTCAAGCTCCTGTGACAAATTCTGTACAGGAGCAGCTGTGGTGAGCAAAGAGGGCTAAGATCTCTGTTCTTTTGTTCACAGTCGACGTAAAATGAGAGTGATGGAAGGGAGCCGGATGATGAAATTAATAGACACAGGCCACACATAGTCTTGAAGTTCTAGAAATTCCAGAATTGAGGAGTTTTGGCTTTAGCTTACTTTTAGGACAAACAGAATGTGCTCAGAGAGCTGTTTCAAGGGAGACATTTTCAAAAATATATTTTTTGTGTGGCTGAAGTATGAGGAGGACTGGGGTTCACTTGAAAGAAAAGGCAAGCAGGTCAGTCAGGATTTACCCAGCACTCCTGGGATGGTCAGCTACCACCTGTGCAAGCGCTGGAAAGATAGGGGACAGACAGAGCAGGCTCAAAGGATGCTTTAGTGAGTTTTTAATTTTTTATTTTCTGGTGATGGTCCTAAACTCAGGGCCTAGACTCTGTCCCTGAGCTTTTGGGCTCAAAGGCTAAGTGCTTTACTACTTGAGCCACTGCTCTATTTCTATCTATATGGTGGTCAATTGGAAACAAGGGCTTTCCTGCCTGGGCTGGCTTTGAATCATGATCATCAGATCTCAGCCTCCTGAGTAGCTAAGATTACAGACATGAGCCCCTGGTGCCTGGCTCAGCACGTAAGCTTTATAGTTCCAGTTAGAGATCGATACTGGAGCAGGGGATGGGCAAAAGATGGAGGTTTGTAATGGTGTATTTCTGTCAGGAAGGTCAAGAAAAATGATGATGTAATCCAACAGAATGAAGGGGAACTTGATTTGGTCTAAAACAGCTCTGTAGAATTGCCCAGCAGGTGGCAGCATAAGGTCTGGAACCCTACAATGTGTTCACTAGACATTCAAATGAGGCAGTCATAGAGGGAGATTTGAGAGTGAAAGGCCAGGATAGAGAAGCAACTGCCACATGGGATTAAGATGATGTAGAGTTTCGAAAGAAGAGTCACAAGGAGAAAGCAAGAAAAGAAACAATGGTGGTCTTGCAAGGGAGAGAGATGACCTGAGAATCGGGCCATCTCCATCTCCAGCAGGGAGGGTAGGTTGACAGGTCAAGGGCCGTTGCTGTAAAGCCATAGAGAGTTGTGGTTGAGGCACAAGTGTATGAGAGGCACCTAAACATTGAGGGGCTCAACAGGAACAGAAGAAAAGAAGTAGAGGAAAAGATGCTGTTTCACCAAGTTTGGAAAATCAAAGAAGGTGCGTAGAGTAGAAGACTTGAGAAAGAAGGAAGGGTGTAGCTTGATAAGGAGAAAGGAGTGTACACAATTTCAGGTACTTCAACAGAAGAAAAAGAAACTCTTAGAAGAGAAATAGAGAGCAAAGGTAGTGGGAGATCTTGAAGAGACCCAAGAGGAGGCGTGAAGAAGAGGGCTTACCTCGAAAGAACGGAATTTGGTTGATGAAGGAGATGAGTAAACACACCCATGATGAAAAAGGGGAAATTTCAAGTTTAAATGTAAACTCTGGACATAGAGAGTAAGGAAATTCAGAAAATGGGTATTCAAGATGTAAAATCCAAAATCTCATGGAGGAGTGCTCTCATAGGAAGAAGAAGTGGAGGAGTTTGATAAGAACAAGAAGTAGTGTTGAGAGAACTTCCGAAACGAGCTGGGAGAGTAGGGTAAGGTAGGCAGGTATTTAGTGTGAAAAGGTCTGACTTAATGAAGGGTATGATATATGTTAAGAAACAACAGAAAATAAAGAGTGGCTAGTTTAAGGAAGGATTGTGAGAGAGTTTATACCCAGTAATGCATGGTTTTCACTGAGATATTTTTATACTGTGCTTCATTTTGAACTCTGAACATTATTGTTTTTCTTTGACAAATTCAAACCTTACTGTTTAGACAGTAGTAATGAAATTGTACAAGCTTATAAAAAATAGATGAACTCATATATATGTATTCAAATAAATGTGTGCATATGTTTGTATTTGTCTAATTTCCTACCAGTTATATGATCACATAATGTTTCAATCGATTGTTTGCAGAACTCATATTTTCCAAGTACGTTGAAGCATGTAGTCACGGGTTTAGCATCACTTATGTATAACACATAATGGATAGTTACTTCCACAAATTATGTTAACTGAATAAGTCAAGAGTGACTTATTCAGTGAATAAGTGCCAAGAGTGACAATGGATCCATGTTTTCCCTTATATGTGGAAGCTAGATTTAGCTTACTAACTCATAAGTAAATATGTTGGGTGGTGTGCAAGTGTATACAAATATTTTAACTGAAATACAGTAGATTCAAGGCAGATCTTAAATAGTGCAATTCCCTAGAAAGCCAAAATCAAAGTTCAGTAATGTGAAATCCAGGAAGTAAGTACTTGAAAGGGGTAGTGAGGAAATAGGTAGACAAATGAAGAGAGAACGTAGACAAGAGTCCAATGTATATCCTACAAGGTTAAGAAGAGTGAGGGACAGGGCGGATAGGGAAGGGATGGGTGAGAATGTTGAGAAGGGTGACATTGATCAAGATATACTGTATTCATAAACTCCTTTGGTAAATGGCAACTCCTTTAAATACTTAAAGACTAAAAAAGATACAACTGGACTAGTTTGTTGTAGAATATATACTTGGTGGCAAGTCGGCTTTACGATCCTTTGATTTATATCGATGTTGCAGGTGTTTGTAAAAGCTTGATCAATTACAGCTGTTTCTAGTGTTTGGGTGCTGGGGCAAACCCACCCTTAGAAAACTGAGTTAGTCAGCATATTTCTGTGTAAATCCCATTGTGAGGGTTAGAAAGCAACAGCAAATAAAGAATGAAATGTTCTGATTTAATTATATATATATTTATTGTAAAAATACTGTACATAGGGGTTACAGTTACATGACTAGGGTAATGAATAGATTTACTATCAAGCATTGAGCATTGTTACTTCCTCCTTTGTTTCTCCCCTATCATTCCTTCCTTCCCCACCTCCCCAACTCCTCCCTCCCCCACCAACATTGTAAGGTTCGTTTGATCCATTGATTTAATTTTTTTAAAGAAAGAATAACTCATGAAAGTTTCCAAATGGTAAGAGATATTTCAAATTATTGATACACTCAGATTTAATTTCTGTTTAGGGGCAAGAGGGAAGAAGATCTAGCATATTAATGGTCAAATATACTTAGGAGGAAAAGTTTATAGAACATTCATAAGTAGAAGGGACTATGGTTTGAAAATTGTTTCAAAAGTTGGCTTTAAAATATTCTTATACTGAGTGCCAGTGCCAATAATCCTAGTTACTCAGGAGGCTGAGCTATGAGGGTCCTTGGTTAGAAGTTAGCCAAGGAAGAAAAGGCCATGAAACTCTTATCTCCAATTAAGTACCAAAATGTTGGTAATGAAAGTGTGGATCAAATGTTAGAGCACCAACCTTAAGAGGAAAAGCTAAGGGATAGCACATAGGACTTGAATCCAAGCCCTAGTAGACAGACAGACAGACAGACAGACAGACACACACACACACACACACACACAGAGTAACTATTTAGAATGAGAGAAAAATCAAGGAACTCTGAGAGCAAGGTACTGCTTACAGCCATAGTTCCCACATATAGTAGAGCATGGTCTGTGGGTTAAAGTGCTAGGCAAAATTTCACATTAGATAGTGGTAATCTAAACATAGTTATTTGCTTCCATTGAAGGTGATGTTGGGTAAAAAAGAGTAATTCCCAACAGTGTAGGGCTTCTGTCTTACTAATTTTCAGGAGGCAGAACATCTTCCAGCAGTGAGGAACATCCTCTTTCTAACATTAACTCGGTCGCAATAGTTTTCTGGGATGATTTTCCACAGCAACTGTTACCCCCACCCCCCTTCCCACAAAAGCTTCCAGAAAGATGTGCTAGCACAGCCCACTTTTGATAGGCTGGCCAAATTCCAAGTGAGGTAATTCCCACCATCCACTTAGCTATTTATGTAGTTATTATTGCTTCTGAGAGCTGCTGTGTTCTGAAAACTACCACTACTTAATCCTACTTAAAATTCCCTT